TTGAGTTCTCTCCTATGCAGTGGGTCTCAGATGTAATTAGAATGTGATTGGTTACCCCCATAACAGTCATGCCACTATTGCACCAGTGAACACATCTTTCCTGGCATTTTGGTGGTAGCACACAGGGTCCATAGCTGCATAAGACAGTTAGTGACTTTTCTACTCCAGCAGCTTGCCTAGCTCCTTCTGATACTATGAAAGCTAGCTAGCAGGGAGGAAGCTTCCAGCTTAGTTTCAGCTTGCTTTCTCTATGTCCTGCAACCAAAGTGTGATGTTTTCAGAAATAGGATGTACCATCTAGTTCTGGTGGGTAATCTAGACCAGAGGCGATAGGCTGTATTATTTTAAGGGCTTCTGGGGTCTCCCTGATCAATAATTCACAAGCAGGTATCCCATACCTGGTGCTGAGATTTTCACTTAATAACTTAGGGCTTCTGGAAGAAGCATCATTATCCAACCATGCAAAGTACTATCACAGAACTTTTCTGTAATATTTGGTTTTGGTTAATCCTCCCACCCCCCCTTCTCTCTCTCATTCATTCTCTTTCCCATTCCCCCAATCTCCATTCTTACTTTCTATTCCCAGTCTTCCTCTCTCTACTTTTATATCATATATTTCTGTTGTTGCCCTCCAATGCATCACTGCCAGACCTTTCTAGATTCCTTTCTCTATAGATGTTCACTCCAACTTAAACAAAGCTAGGATCCATATATGAGAAAAAATGTGGCATATGTCTTATTGAGTTTGGGTTACCTTACTTAGTATAATATTTTCCATTTCCATCCATCTTCCTGCAAATTTCATTTTTGTTACAACTGAATAAAACTCCAATGTGTAAAGGTAGCACATTTGAACCTCTCTTTATTTTATTTTATTTTTTGTCTTATTGAGACAGGATCTCCCTGTAGCCTTAGCTGGCCTAGAACTTGCTATGTAGACCAGGCTGACCTCAAACTCACAGAGATCTGCCTGCCTCTGCCTCCTGAGTGCTGGGATTAAAGGTGTGTGCCACCGAGCCTGGCTATGTGCTTATTTTTATCTTATTGTTCTATTTGATGAAATATCTGTCTTCTTATATCCATCTTATAGTTCTCATACCTTTTATATGACTGGATTGTATTTTGGAGTTTTGCGCGGGTTGGTTGTTTTTCACTGTTGAGTTTAAAAAGTTCCTTACGTGTCTGAATACAACTTACTCAGATTTGTTTTACCAAGAATTTATTTCTTCCCAATCTGTCACTTGTCTTTTTCTTCCTACCAGTATCTTTTGCAGAACAAGTTTTAAATTTTGAATAAATTCAATATAATCACTTTTTCTTTGATGCCTTGTACTTTTGATATCTTTAGCTCTATACCTAACTCTGTCTGAAGATCATCTCCTCTATTTCTTCTGGAATTTTAAAGTTTGTTTTTTGCATTTAGTTTATTAATCTATTTTAAAGTTAATTTTTATATAAGATAGATTGACGTTAGATTGAGATTTAGATTGACGTTTTCTTTTTTGCCAATGAAGTCCAGCTATTTCAATACCAGTTATTGAGAAAACTATCTTTACACCTTTGAATTGCTTTTGTACCATTGCCAGAACTCAGTAGAGTGAGCTTTAGTTTGGTCTGCTTTCGGATTCTCTTTTGTCCCATTGATCTATACTCTGTTCTTCCAAAGTGTATTGATTGGCTCTCTGATAAGACAGAAATGGGCAGTATTAATCCTTCCACTTCTTTTTGAAGATATTATTTTAGCCATTCTATTTTGGAACTTTTCCATATAAACTTTAGAATCAGTATATATTTTTTAAAAAGTTGTTGGATTTTGGAATCCAGTATGATAAATACGTAGAACAATTTAAGGGGAATTCATGTCTTTACTATTCTAAGTTCTCTGATAAGTGACTATGCTGTCTCATTTTTATTGGGTTTTCTTTCATTTCTTTCATCAGTATTGGATAAGTAAGTATACAGGGTCTATGCATGTTTTTGTTATTCTACA